CAGTCCCGGTGCGCCCCGAGCTCTCCGCGAGACAGAAAGAAAAAAAAGGAAAAAAAAGAAAAACTTCCGTCCTCCTCCTCTTCTTCCTTTCCCGCTTTAAATCCTCACCGCATTCAAAGCAGGGTGGTTTTGGGACAGAGGTTTGCTCGATACGTGCGCGGACTTCTCTGCTCCGGGTCCTTCAAAGTGGAGAGAGCCGGTTGGTGGTGGTGGATGTGGTGGGTGGATATTGGTAAGATGACGGCTGGGAGTACACACACACACACACACACACACACAGAGAGAGAGAGAGAGAGAGAGAGAAAGAGAGAGAGAGGGAGGCGGAATACTGCTGCGGTGCGTAAATGTTTTGGAGACAGAGAGCGCAGCTCTGCTCTCTCAGTCAGTCAGTCAGTCAGTCAGTCCCGGTGACTTTCTGTCTACTGGTCTGGGTTTCCAACACTCACCGTCCGCAGCGCCCTGCCGCTCACCTCCCACTTAAAGGGAGAGGGACTGATTTCCAGGTGGTGGCTGTGGGGGCAGAGAGAGAGAGAGAGAGAGAGAGAGAGAGAGAGAGAGAGAGAGAGAGAGAGAGAGAGAGAGAGAAAACGATTATCTGTCAGCGGCTCCTTGTCATATTAACACACAGTTCGATCAGACTATTGATCACCTTTGACTGGTGAGCTCCCATCAGTTGACAACCTCCCCTGCTCCTTTACATCCATATCTGTTTAGTTGACTTATGTCTGCTACCAGAATGGATAATCTTATACAACTTCCTATGTGACCAAGAGGAATGCAATGAATGATTATTTCAGTAATCGACTAATTGTTTTATTTCAATTATTGGATTAGTCATTTAGTGTAAACAGTGTCACAAAATAGTGAAAAAATGCTAGAATCACAAGTTCCCAGTGCCCAAGGTGATGTCTAGTAGAAGAGAACCTGCTCCCTCTGTAGATAAAAACAGCTCATTCTAAGGTAACAAAAATACAATTATTCCTATGTTCTGGTGATTATACACTTAATAAAAGTATACCTATTCATTTTATATTTCATTTTGCCAATAGATCCTCCTAAATGTTACACACTGGACCTTTAAGCTATTTTTAAAAAGTGGCTGGGATATTTGGTAAACATGGTGTCATCATCATCTTAAATTCTTTTTAGAGGCTTTTCTTCTTTTAGTTATTTACTGGTAAAGGAATACCAACTCAACACTGTTATAATATATATAATATTATTAAAGTTGGGAATGGTCTTTTTTTTAAAAGTGAAATACAAGTTTGAACGCCCCTCCCAACCAACCAGCTATTTTTATACTGTCCCTTATTCTGTCAGACCAAAACTCAAAGATATTCAATCAACAGTTACATAAAACAGAGAAAGGTAGCACACTGGATGAGCTGACAAAATTAATTTAACGATTATTCAATTATCAATTAATGTAGCAATTTGCTTTCTGTCAATCAACTAATCATTTAAACAACTAATTGCTTCATCTTTTGTGACTTTATAACTTCCTAATGGTTCTGTTCAAGCAAATTACAAAAAAGTTTTCTAATTTAGTCTGTACTTTATGCAGACAGTTTTGGTTTTATTTGTCATAGTTTTGAGGTATTCACCACCAAAACGCCACCACCCAAATATTACAGAGAAGAACAGAATTTCATTTGTGCTGCTTAAAGCATTTGCAAAATATGTATCTGCAGGAAAAATGTTCCATTATCGAAAAATGTGTTACCTTGTGTATAAAAAATACCAATTTTTTTTTCCTAACAAAAAAGTCCTAACATTTGAAAGTCTTACCCAGAGATGTTGTCGAGTTTTTCAAATATTATTTAATGCCCTGAACGCCAGTTCCATTTCACCTCCATTTTTGAAACTGCAGCAACACTCTCAGCAGCAAATAGTCCAAAAAAAGTCAGCAAATAGAATTACCTGCATGGGTAGAAACAACTTTTTTGTATAGTTTAGTTGAAATTACTAATCTCTTGATTCCTCCCCTTAAATTCCCTAGAAATGTGGAAAAAATGTTGGAGAATGAAAACACGGTACTAACAGCATTGCATAAAGTACACTCAATAGTCTGTGTTTTTTCCAGATGCTTACACTGAATGATATATTCCGACCCAAATCCATGTCATATACTTATATTTCTTCAATTTCTTATTTTATATTTATATTTTTGAAAACAATAGAATCTTGGGAACATTAAAATACAATTTTGCAGTTTTATACGGCCATTTCTAAACCCCAGGCTGTGTCCACACAGGGTATTTATATGACTAAATGTGGTTTGAGGTACCTTTTTTTCCCCACCACACTAGTATTTTCAGAGCGAAGTTTGCAAAAGTAATACAAAAACACTGAGAGGTCCCAGGAAATGGTACTAATGAGTTGGATTTTCTGTTAAAACAGAAGAGGAATCCATCTGAAAACTACACTAATGGCCAATCAGTTATGAAGAAAAAGGCAGGTTGATGTGAGAGGACAGATTGAATTTTTGTCCAAAAAATGTGTTCCACACTTGTTCTCAAAAGGGATGTGATTCCGATTCCTCTGTGGGTGACAGATAAATAATACTTAAGTGATACTGCAGTTTGTGTCCAGGTGTGTGTGCGAGAGAGATAATGTACTTTACAGGGTGATGGTACATCGCTAGAAAAGTACTTTTCCACTGTACTTTTTTACTGAGCATCAGTGTTTCTATTGGTGGGCTGTGTAAATCTGTAGGTACAATTTGATGATGATGCATGATGCAATCTGTCTTAATGGGGCTTTTGACATTGATCACAGTTATAGTTTCGTGGTTTGTGGTCATGTAGAGACTCTGTTTCTATTGATATCAATGCAAAGCTCCTGGTAGGTCTTCTTTTTCTTCCTATCAGTAGACTAGAAAACTATAGACGGATGTGACCCGTCAGGTCCGGAAGAATTGTTACCCCTGTACCTATGGTACAGTAAGTAGCATAGGTACAGTAGCAAGTAGGCAACAGTAACCTTTTCAGAACTTTGGCATCAACTTGGTACCAAGGTTTCAGTTCTCAGACATCCCTAACCAAAAGTGACCAAACAGTGTTGTAACAAATCAAAAAAGAGAACAGAACAGCAAATCTCAGCCTGATCGAATGCAGCCCGACGAGCTGACAAGCAGTCAACTGGAGCCATTACTCACAAGTCTGCCAAAACATCGCACCAAAACAGGAAATCCTTGAATTAGCCGGCTGTATATAATGTAATTAGCTGGCAATAGCCACATGTAGACCACCTGTAGTGGTGACCACCTGCTGTCCAGTTGGTGGCTAATGTGCATTTTAATTATCCATTGTCTAGTAGTCTTTGATCTCACATGCACAACCCTTGTTTTTAATCTGCCTGTAGCCATCACATTAGTAGGCCATATAGCTACATAGCCTAGCTATAGCAAAATGTCAGGGCAGCAGAGTGTTTAAAATGTCTTAAGAAAGCCCAGTAATTGTGAAGTGGGTGATAAACAAGGTGAAAAAAGAGGGACTGATGTGGTGGAGGGCGAAGGACAAGCAGGTTACACTGATAACGTATGGTCAGCACAGTCGGTGCCTCTGTTCATCTCTTCCCTCCATGCCCTTATAACCCCTAAATTCTGTATATCAAATGTTATTGTGATAGTTCATTATCATTCAAAAATTTTAATTAGTAATATGATTTTGGATTTTTTCTGTCAACAATGAGAAAGTTAAATGCAACCTTTGCTGAATATGCACTGTTTTCCATCCATGAAGGTCAAGGGATCTTTTCTCTCACCTCCTCCTCCTCTAATGGCGGTAATAGGAAACAACACACTGGTACCTACAGTATTACTGCAACAATCAACTGTTTGAATTGATGGAACATTTTTGGTAAACATGGCCAGTCACTCTGTCTTGGCTCTGTCTGCTACAATACATCCGATCAAACGGTAGTTGTTGTCATTGATGACTGGTCTTTCCGTTTCTGTTGTCAGAAGATTCTACAAGTATAGAATAGTAATTTGATCAAGGTTTAATTGACTCTTCATCAGATGTCTTTTCACAAATGAACAGTCGTCTCCCAACAGCAACAGAAAAATGCTTTACGTTTCTTAACCTTCCATTTGTTAACGTTACTGCAAGTGGAAGTACTGTACTTTGTCCATGATGGTGAAAAGTTGCCAATCGTACTCCACTGTGACTGAAAGATACATCTTTAAATGTATCTGCATTGGTGTGGACATGTTGTACAGTAAGCTTGTCTTATTTGCATCTGTGTGAATACCGCTGGCTGTGAAGGAGGCAAGGAAGAAAAACAAGCTAATAGAATGTCAGAAAAATGTGACTGAAGAAGTAAAGACCTCAAATCAAGAAAGAGAGAAAGAAGGAAAGAAAGGGAAAGAAAGAATCGGCGACGAGGTCATGGGAGTGCACACGGTGAGGAGAAGATAAAAGGAGGTGCGGCTCTACGGGGACGGAGAGAGATAGAGAAAGAAAGAGAGGGACAAAGAGAGGAGGAGAGAGAATGAAAGAGAGGGAGAGAACGAGGTAGAGAGAGCTTGGCTGCGCATTGGGGGAGCTGATGTGCCATTTCTAATCCCTCCTGTTCGTGGCTTTGTGCCGTGGCCCAGCAGGAAGTGGGAGCTGGGCAGACAACAATTAACAAAAGAGCTGTGAAGAATACAATTAGCCATCAATGGCCAACCACAGGCCTTTGTGCCTGTCGCCATGGAGACGGCACAACACCACCATACCGAGATTACAAAACCCTTTTCTACACTTCTCCTTTTTTTCTCTCCATCTCCCCTTTTCTCTTTTCCCTTTTTTCCACTTTTCTCTTTTCTTCCGCTTTCAAACTAATGTTCCCTTTTTTCTCTTCAGTTCATCTTTTCAGTCTTTTCTCTCTGATACACACACACACACACACACACACACTCACACACACTTACATGTACTGCTATACATGCAAACACTTGGTTCATGTTTGCTGTGAAGCTACATGCTGTCTCTGTATTGAGATGATCTCTTCAGTTTCTCATGACTGACAGCCTGGAGATTCAAGCACTAAATGAAGCCCTCAACACCCTGCAATAAGATAACCTGACCCATCAGCACCGGCCAGGAGTTGTGGTTTGTTTTCTTCAAGCCGTCCTACACAGGACTGTGTGACAGCAGTAATTCCACCTGACTGCAACCTTAACCTTAAAGCTGCAGTTAGCCAGCACTTGTGGCTGTGAAAGGTAAGTGCCTCCACTGGCAGAAGTCCATAAAGACTGTGGGATGTCATTTGGTTTACCCCAGGTCTTCCAAGCCTGTACCATCATGCATTGCACCCCCACATCCATGTTTTTTTGACCAAGCTGCTTTGTGTCTTTCACCCTACTCTCAGTTACTGGTTTATAAGGTACCCCTGACTAAACGTAATACAGTCTAATACCTTGGGCTGACCTCTAATAGTCGACTTAATCATTGAGTCGCTGGAAAGAGTCTTAGTCAACCTAC